CCTCTGGGGGCCAGCACCTAGTGCAGCAACTTATATTTATATAGCGGCATAAATATCATAAAACATCATGAAGCACTTCACAGGAGCATCATAAAACAAAACAAAGCTGAGTCACATAAGGAGAAAATATATCTGATGGTCAAAAACTTGATCAAATAGCTAGGTTTTTACAGGAATCTCAAGGTGAATAAGAGAGTCGGGGAGGTGTAGAGAAGGAATTCCAGAGCTTAAGATCCAGGAAACTGAAGACACTGCCAAGAATCAAAGACCCCTCCCACCACGGTTATAATCTCTTCCACCCTCTTCCATCAGGCAGAAGATACAAGTTTGAAAACACGTTCCAACAGATTCAAGAACAGTTTCTTCTTTGCTGTTATCAGACTTATGAAGGACCTCCCACATATTAGAGTTGATCTTTCTCTGCACCTTCTCTGCAGTTGTAACACAGTTCTATTACTCTGATGTACTTTTGTAAGGTGTGATTTGTCTGGTTAGCACACAAAACAATACCTTTCACTGTATCTCGGTACATGTGACAATACTATATCAAATCAAATTAAATCACAATGACCAAGGCTGAAGACAAGTCAAGAAGGGCAAGCACTTTATGTTTGTAAAAAGACTCACAAGATCTCAGGCTTCAACTCATTGCCAAAGTTGTTGGAATGTGGAATTGCAGACACAATCAGATCAGCTGTGGTCTTAGTGAATCCGGTTTGAGGGCCCATGACACAAAGTAGGGGCTTTTACGTAACATTTCAACATGGATACCATGTTTACTTCTGAACAGTTAGTTGCTGCTAGGAGAGGTTGTTAGTTGATATACTAACTACCAGAATACCATACAGCTTCCTTAATGAGCACTAGCTGGATTTTAAACAGCAGTCAACTCCTTAGTGAGCCTCTGGAGGCCAGCTCCTCGTGCAGCATCTTATATTAAGTAACACCTTAAACATCATGGGTGGCCCATCTTGCTCCTGTCTCATAAGCCCATATGTTCATAAGATGACACTTGGTGCTAAATACAGATGAAATATGTTTTACCTCAAAAACACCTTAATGATCTTGAATGTCCTGCCAAAAATTGCCCAAATACTTACATTTATACATAGTCTTCCACAATTTCTGAACATTTCAACTTTACAGCCAATAGTATAATTGTTAAGGGTAGTCACAAGAGTAATGTAGGAAAACAGCAGAGTTTATGATCAGACAATTTGTTTCTTTCACCAAAGTTCATTGAAGGTAGATATTGGCCTGGACACTTGAGAGAGCTTGCTTGCTTCAAATTGTTCAATCGGGCCTTTTGCTTCCACATGTGAACCATGTTGGGATTAGTCTTAATATCTCATCCAGGAAATGACATCTCTGCCAGTACAGAACTCCCTCAGCGCTGGAGATTCAGGGTTGATTTTGTGCTAAAGCCCATGGAATGTGAATCTCTAGCAAGGATGCAGAAGATGACAACCAGAATGCAATCATATCTCAACACCCTTAATCAACCATGAAGATTAGTGTAGAATTTAAAGGTTTGGAGAACAGAAAAAATTATTTTCATTTTTAAAATAATGGTAGCAATGTACACAGAATGGGCAGATAAATTTACTTAGATAATTAGAAATGGGAGGATATGAATCTTTTCCTATAAAATCCATGGGCAATTTAGTTTCGATGCCAGGAACTATTTACTTTCCCAATAGAGCACATTGCCAAAGCATGTTGAAGTTGGAATTACTAGTCCTTTAAAAAAACGGGTATTTTCAGTTATAATAAGTAAATTGCTAGATGGTTGAGATTGTGGCTAATTATAGGCTACTGTAATCTCTTGTATCTTTGCTTGATTGTTGAACTCTCTAAAACAAGAATCAAATTTGCTGCATTTCTTTTCTCCATTTTGTGTCTCCCCCATTACTAAAAAGTCATGGATTGTGGTATTGCACTGCTAGTTGATTTGAGAGGGCTTGTTGCTACACTCCATCCCTCTTTTCATATCTTCACATGAACAAATTAACAGCCAATCCTTTTTTTTAAAAAAAGCTTGATTTCTTTACCTGAAATAGTTTTAATTAAAAATAATTTTGTCAGCTATGATTTAGTGGACAACAGACTGAATTTCGAACATTATGGGTCAAGGCCCACACCAGAGACTTGAGCATATAATCTAACCTGATGCTTCAGTGTGATACTAAGGACACTTTGCATTGTTTTGGTTGAATATGCTATGGTATACAAAGAAAATCCCATGAGATTACTTTGAAGAAGTGCAAGCAAATTCCCTCTTCTTCTTGCTCAAGGTTCATCCTTCAGCTGACATTACTAGACCATACTATTTGTTTGGTTTCTTGTTTTGTTTTATAATATCTTGCTGTGCACACAGGTATTCCTCTTATGACTACACTTCAAAAATAAAACACTTTGGGATGTCCTGAGCTTGCAAAATCTCTATCCACTTTTCTTTTACTTTGTTGAAAGCAATTCGCATTTTCCACTGTGATCGAGATATAAGTCCTAAGAGAATATGTGTAGAAACCAGCAAAGAATCAAGTGAAAATAATTAAGAGAAGTCAATGAGAAATAATTTGCTCTTGATGACTGTTTCTTAGGGCAGATCTGCAAATAACTGTAGAATTCAACAATGTTCTTTCCCAAAAACATCAGCATGTATTCGCAGACATGTGCAGTAGCATGAAGAATTCCACTGTACTGAAAATATATGCAATAGGACCTTTATTTTAAGTTTGAATTTAGAGCTTAGTTGTTCACAATGTTGAGAATCAATTTTTTCTGTCCTTATTAAGGAACTGTTTATATTCTAGAAATACATGATAACACCAGAACAAGAAAATAAACACAAAACATTGCGAATACTGGAGATCCCAAACAATAATATAAAGTGCTGAAGAAACTGAATAGTTTCAACATCTGTGGAGAAAGAAACAGAATTAATGTTTCAAATTCAGTGTGACCATTCTTTGAAACTAGAGTCATACTGGACTCTTCATCTCTAAATACAGATACTCTCAAACCTACTGAGTTTCTCCAGCGCTGTCTCTTTTTATGAAACTTCAAAACAATGATTTCCATGTGAGGCCTTGCATTACAGGATCATGTAGAATTTAGCATGTAGAAACAGGTCATTTGGTTCAACTGGGCTGTTATCAAGCTTTCTCTTAAATTATAATTGCCCTTTAGATGAAGGTCTCTAAATTCTTCATTGGTTTTATTAGCAGTTACCTATTTTTATAATACTGAGTTTATAGTCTCCCTACAAATTAATCTCAAACATTAATTGTAATGAGAATTACAATGATTGTTTATTTATCTCAAGGGCATTACAAAACAGATGAAAGAAAAACAATTCATGACATATACATGTATCTCATTGGTATTTAAATGAAGTCTCTTTCCCACTGCCTGTGGTTAGTTTCCACCATGGACATAAATGTGGAGGTGAGAAAGTGTCCCTATTATTGCAACAGGGTTGGGATTCAAGAGTATGAATGTAATGCTATAATTGTGCAGTGCTTTGGTTAAACACCTGGGGTATTTTGTACAGTTCTGATCTTCATACCAAAGGAAGGATTTACTTGCTCTAGAAGCATGCAATGAAAGTTCACCAGTTAGTTTCCTGGGTTCTGAGGGATTGAGAAGAATCGATATCTAGTTTCTGGAATTTAGAAAAATGACAGGGGGTTCATGTTGAAAGATTCTAAGGCTTGAGAAAGCATCATCACAAGTTATAGTCAATATATATGTAACTAAGATTTTTTTTACAACTATGATTTCAAGATAACATAACCTTAAAGTTTCAATTCGGAGATTTAGTTGTTTAAGTTTGAAATATAAAAGATACAACATTCTGCTCTACCTGTCTTTTACAAATCTGCTGGTGTCTCTGGAATACAATTTTTACACTGAAATACATTCTAAACTGTTGATCTTTATGCTGAGGTGGAAAAATGTTGACTTTTTTGCTTACCTCTGCACATCAAAGGTGACAAATTTCTTGTCTCTTGGGAATCAGTTGGAACAAAGACTTTAATATTATGTACTTTCCACATCTGTAGGCACAATTCTCTGTGGGTGCTCCTCAATTTGAATTTGTAAAAAATCTTTCATCATTTAAAATGTCCCAGTTACATTATTTAAGTCATGCTGCAAAGGAATTGCAACTTTCCTTTGCAAGTCTCTGGATCACACAGTTGACATGTTGACTGATGACAAGGAATGGTACCTCCTGTCAAAGCCTGAACAGGACAGGAGTAGGACATCTCCCCTCAGATCACCTGATCTGCCTTACAGTGCACAGCAACATAATAAGGCTCACAATTGCTCCAACACGCACCAAAGAAGAAGCTAAAGAAACTGGTCTATGCAGTCAGTACCAAAACATAAGACCTCAAAATGGTGCTGGATTGTGGTGACAGAACTCTTAACTGTGTCTCCCTAGTATATATATGGCAATAAATCATTCATTCAGACGCAGGAATTGGTCACTGGGCCTGGCAAACCTGCCCTGCCATTCATTAAGATCATGGAAGCTCAGATTACTCCATAGTTGTGCCTTCCCGGGATAAGCATTAGCACTTCATTTCCTTGATCACCAGGAATATCTGCCTTTGTCTTAAAAATAGTCAAGAGATTATCTGCTTCCACCACCTATTGAGGTAGAAAGGTCCAAAGACTTGGTTTTGTGTGTCTGCGTTTGTAGGGAGATTTTTGAAATGTATGGTAATGGGCATAAGGCGGCATTTTTACATTCCTCAGGCAAGCACAACAGGTGTTATAAAAGAGCAAAAGCACAGAAGGCGTAACTTTGTATCCCCGAGTGGCAAGGGCTACCAGTCCCACCCACTCACCAAGCCCCGCCCTTCACCCCACCACTTTAGGGCGGAGCAGTCTCGCGCGAACCGGTTAGCGCCGGCTGCCTCCCCGCATTTTCATTGGCTAAGCCACCCTCAGGCTGACGTGATTCTGACGTTGGTATGCCTAGAAGAGAGGTTATAAAAGGATGCGGGCCAGTCGCTGAGGTGGAGGGAGGGGGTGGCTGGTAATATTGGATGTTAGGACGGTAGAGTTGGAGAGTGATAAACGCGCTTACGCCCACACATCTATTTGTCTATATATATCTCTCTCACACAAACAGATACGTACATAGTGTTAGAGAGAGCGACAGCAGGCTTCGGGAGAAACCGGACCTTTTAGGCAAGCGTGGAGCAGAGCGGAGCGCCTGAGCGAGACTCATTCTTCAATGAGTAAGCACATCCCTGTAAGTCGACGACCGGTGCCCGTCTTCGTACCGCGGCCACGCGCCGCCGCACACGCGCGGGTGTCACTGCGCTCCTGCCTCAGGGAAAGGGCGCGAGGCCCGAGCTCGCGGGGTGGGGGAGGCTCGTCACGCGCTCGGGGCTCGCCGGCATTTAACGGTCATTTCCCCTCCCCCACCCTGAAGCCTGGGAAGAACGAACCCCCCACCTCCGCCACGCTGCTGCGACCGGGTTTGGGGGGGGGAGGGAAGCTGTGTGTGTGTGGGGAATTCCTCTAGAGTCGTTAGGAAGGGTGCACAAGGAGAGAGAAAGAGGCAGTGTCTGTCTTCTTTCTCTCCTTTCTTCCCGCCCCCCCCCCCCGCTTGTCGCGGTCAAAATGGATCCTCTTGCTAGACAATTTAAACGTGGCCGGTCTGAGGTGGGGGGTGGGGAAGTCTCCCGGCTGCCGCCTTGGCTCCCTTTGGTCCGCGGCCCTCCTTTCCCTTCTCTGAGCGAGACTCTGACCCAGCCCCATCTCTTCTGTCTCCATACCCAACTCCCTTCCGCTCTTCTCCCCATTTCCTCTTCCTCAGCCTGCACCCCTTCCTTCATCTATTCTCTTCGGCCCTTTTTCCACCGTCTTCTCCATTCCACTTTCTTTCCCCTCTATTCATCTACCGACTTCCTCATTATTCCACCTGTCCAGCCCGATTCTATCTGTATACGGAGCCTAATTCCCTTGCTGAATTGTGACCCAAATATTTGGTTGACATCTGGATAGTTTGTCGCCCTGCTGTCACTGGGATCTTGCTCTGTGTAGCTTGAATGCGGTGTGGTTCAGCGGTGCAGCGTGTTGAAGCGTGGGTAGGGGTGCATGTGTGCCTTTTGGGGAAGCGCTGCTCTGAGCAGTTGTGGAAAACTTTCATGCCAGTTTTGCACATTGAACCCATAGTTTTCCAGTGTTTCAGGGGGTTAATAAACAGCAAGCTTCAGACCGAACACAGCACGTACAGTCACATAGAAGGGAGGTTAAATGTGTAGTAATTGCAGGCATAAAGCTAAGCTGCTTGAGTGGTGATTTTGATGTTGACCATGTTCCCCCATCTTTATTCAATGTGTGGTTCTGATCAACATTGCAACATGTTTTATTCCTTGACTTCTGGCTAGTTTGTGTGTGGGAGGCTCTTTGGTGATGTCATGTGTCTATTTGACAGTTTGAAAGCTTCTTGAATGTAGTTGCTGTGAGAAATTAAACCTGCCTCAGACTACGCACCTGTTGCACTCCTAAGTCTTGGGATTCTACTGTCTATCTATTGTGGCTTATGCCAGCTGAAGCTATTTTCTGAACTGTCTTTGCACTATAGTTTCATGGGAAATGAGAGGATCAAAAGGGCAATTGTCAGATTTTGCAGAAAAGCTTTGCTTTGAACTATTACACTAATTTCAAATTAACTGCTTTGGTTAATTTCAGGAAATGCCAGGGTTTTTCTGCAGTTATAATGGTTGTCATGTGCATGGAATCTGCAGAAATTGCATTGGCAGACTTGAAAGAACCTGCAGTTATGTAGAATGTGTATATTTATCAGTACAGTTGTAGGGGTTAATCTTGCCTACAGATGGCAAATTGTAACTTCCTGCTGATCTGAATCTTTCCATATGTTTGAATTTTAAAGCTTAATCCTTTTACTTGTCCTGTGTCAGTGAATCATTGTTTTTGAAGCACAAACAAATTACTGGAGAAAGTCAGCAGATCTGGCAGCACTTGCAGAGATAAGGCAGACTTAACATTGATTCTAGTGACCCTTCAGACCTGATTTTTCTTGAATAAGGTACAAAATCTGAGTGCAACCAGATCTGCAATTTGGACTTGAATGTTTTAGAACTAATGCAAACTACTGTGCTACTAAAGGCTGCAACTGAATCAGGTCCTCTAGTTCTAGAAATTATGGCTGTTATTTCTGTAGTCTTACAGTGCTGATTTTCGAACAGATGCAAATTCTTAATTACCAGTTTCCATTTATCAAGTTGGAAATATGGCCTTTGATCTATTATGGAACTGGTACTGCATTGATTTAGGTGATAAATTCTGTGGTATTGAGCCATGCAAACTTAAAGTCCAGATTAGTGGTTGATAGTCTATGGTACTGGTCTTCAAAGTGCCTTATACCTAATTTGGGGAGTGGGCATGGGGACAGAGGATATGTAGAAGTGTTTCCCTGGCTGTGGTTGTATTACCCAAACCAGGATGATTTTCACTTCTACCCTGAGTGGAATGACTGATATTTCAGATGGTGTTGTCATTGCTCCAAAATTGAGGTTCAAAAGGGATTAAAAAACGTATTTTCTAATCAATCTGTTCAGAGATGTTACACTGCCCTAGGAACTTGTAGAACTTGAATTTTGGTCTCTTGGCACAGAGGTAGGGATATTATCAGTGTGCCACAAGAGCCTGCAGTTCATGAGAAGGGAATTCTTGTGTTCCACTGGGTTTCTTTTTTAATCAACCTATTCAGATGTTGCACACCTCTGGAGCACGTGACACTTGAACCCATACCTCCTGGTCCAGGAGTAGACACTGTGCCATGAAGCCTCTGATTCATGAGAAGGGAAGGCTTCTTGCTGAATGTGCAACAACTCTGTTGGGTAGGGCAATTGTTGCTCTTGTATAGTAACAGGGTTAGCTGTGCTGCACTTCTGATAACATGCTGATAATGCATTCTGTTGAAGTGAACCCATGTGGAAATGTACTGCAACAGAAATAGAGGGTTGAAATGGGTGTGATTGAATCAGCATCTTATTAATCCGTGTTAAAATTTCAAGTGATAAACCTAAAAAGTAGTCAGTTGAGTGAAGTAACTTTTCACTTAAGTCGTAGTTATGTTCGTTAACAGGTTGACTTTAGATTAAACAAGTTCAAGTACAATGCAGGTTCCAAAGGATCGTTCAAAGCAAAGTTGGCTATTTCGGGCATTTTTGTGCACAAACCTATGTATGAATTGTAAGTCTATTGTATACAATGCTGTGCATACCCAGCTAAAATAACTTTTTAATCCAATTTAGATAGTACTGAGCAATTTTTTTCTTGAATTGTCTCTAGGGTTTGGGAATGATTTGCTTCTACTTCAGAATGATGTGTTTTGATGTGGTTGAATAAGTACAATGTGTGATCTTCAAGCTCTGCAAATGTGGGATGGGTGTTGCTTGAAGGGGCAGATGGAAAACTTGTTTAGAGGTTTGTGCACTCTCTCTGACACATTACTTCTGCTAATGCACGTTCCTGACAGTGTGGTGATTGAGTCTTCCGGCATTTGTCGACTTTATTTTCATTGGTCACCATGTCTCAATGGATGCTTTGATCCTAAGCACCCCATCGGAGGGGTGATGTTGGCTGATTATAGGGATTCCTGCGGGATATTGGCTCAAGAAAGGATGCTGCTGTTTGACTGCCTTGATTGCCACTAGAAGATGCTCCAAGTCCCAAAGGCAGTGCTCTTGGTGCCTTGAGGTGCTTGTTCTGTATGTATCAAACAGACAGGAGAGTGGAGATGGCTACTCAGTGTGATCCATGAGCCTTGTGTCATGCTTAAGATCGATCCCCAATACTCTCTTTCCCTAGATGATGCATTGGCAGAGATGAAGAATATTGTCTGCCTTCCATCAAGTGAAGGCTCATGGGATATGGAAAATCACGTTTTCCAGGATTTGGCTGTTGGTTTTAATCTGGCTGGGTAGGTGTTGTGCTGCAGGAGCTGGCTTGTGAAAAACGTCAGTTGTGTGTGAAAAGCCCATTTTATCAGTATTTTGAGTGACCACATAATGAAGGACTGTTGAACTTGTATGATGCTGTAGCAGTTGATGGCACCATTGATCGTTCTGTTCACTTTGGCACTGCACTTTATTTGGATCATTCTCTAATTCCAACACATCAGCCTCTTCTATATAATCAAAGCCAATTTGCCTTGCCAAGGCGATGGTTTGAAAGTGAACTTCGGTCAGTGGTTTGAAATCCTCCATGGTTTCTGGCACACTTAGTCCACTTTTACGCACATTGTTCATGTGTGATGATGTAACTTCATCCTTTGAATCTACAGTAGTGTCAATATCTTTGCTGTAGTCTGCACGCCAAAATTCTGGCTGGCACATTCTTGCCATCTGTTTCTTGATTTGGTTCATAGGTCTCAAATGTAGTAGTTGATCTTTGGACTGACAGTGAAGTTGATTTCGGGACAGGAAAATCGTGTTCACGTTTTTGGGCAAGGTATCAAGGCTGGTAGGGTAAGCAGGTCATTTGTCCAAATAAGCAATTCCTTGGAGGTGTAATTGTATTTGGAGTAATATGCCCTTTAGACAGAGATGGCATAACCAATTTTGTAAGTTTTCCTTAACAACAGTTTCACGTACTGCAGGCTTCGTGTGATCAGATGCTTGCTTGAACTCAATCCAAACCCTGTCAGTCAGATCACATGATGCTATCTATGTAGGCCCTGGCTTGAAACTTTGCCAAAATAAAAAAAATTGTGCATATTCTTGTCTGAATTTCTTGTATAGTGAGCAATGCTGAATAAGTATATTGGATATTATGCACCAGTTGGTTTGTCCGAGTGTTGCCCCCAGTATCTTTGAGGAAGATGAGCCCCAAGGTAGTCTTAGTTTGGTGGAAATGGAGCTCTGATCAGAACTGTTCTACTTGTGTATGAAGCTCCTTAAAACAGTTCAGTTTCCTTTAATGACAGCTGGTGACTGGAATCTTGTGTGCTGTGCTGTCAGACCAGTAGAGACTGTACCTTCTGATCTTTGGTCAAGGCAAACCTGTTTAATTCCCTTGTGACTCAAACTTCATGAAGGGGTTGTTTGAGTTCCAGTGCTTTCAAAGTGAAAAGTAATACAGTATGACTTGGAACAGGGGCATAACCATAGGAGGTTGGATTTACCTGCAAGACTTTGCGATTTTTATCTACTGATAAGCTTTTCAAGTTGATCTAGTCAGAATTTGGGAGGAGTGCCTATTTAAAGAGTGGGAAAA